TCTATTGAACCCAAATCCTAAACCCACCATAAACTACAGGGGGAAAGGGGAAAGCCGAAAGCTAGACCCTGTAAAGCTCAACTCTCCTTGCCCGCCGCGCCAAACCCTAAAACCCACCACGAACGGTTGCGTTGAATGTGCACCATGCAACCCATAATTCGGCGTTCTCAAGCCCGGGCCGTCGATGACGGGGCCCTGGGCTTCTCACACGCGCGCGCGCACGCGCGTGCAAACACACGCTCACGCGCGCACAAGCACACGTGCTAGGCAGCTGGCTGTCAAGACCTGAGATGATGGTGGAGCCAACGGCAAGGGCTCTGTGAAACTGAGATCTTGAAGGCTGCGCATAAATTTGCCCCGCAATCGTTCTAAATGTTTCTTCCGAAAAGAATGCCCGAACAGCTCAAGCGGCTTCGAAAGCTCCAGCAGCAGTAGCGCAAGCTCAACATCAGCCGCAATGCGCGCGCAGGCCATAACTGCGTCCATCGCCCCCTCCCCGTGTCATCAAAACACTTTGCTTCGAAAAAGGCGCTGTGTGGGCATTGTTTGTTTCAAAACAGGGGGGCGCCTGGCAGAGAAAAACCATTAATGATTAATGATTCTGTGAAGCTGAGACTCTGAAGTCTGCGATGTGCAAACTATGTTTCTGAAAAGAATGCAAAAACGGCTCAGGCCGCATTGAAAGCTCCAGCCGCAGTAGCCCAAGCTCAGCATCAGCGTCTGCAGCGTGCAGATTTCGGCAAAGCCGTGGCTGTGCCTGCCACATCATTCAGGCGAGAGGGTCCACAACAGACATCTTACGTGTGTGTGTGTGTGTGCATGCGTTGTGCCTTTTGGTGGCCGATTCTGGACGGGACTTGATCACAAATCGAGGATATCTCTAGTGCCGGTTGTGGTATTTTGACTGAAAAGACCTACTCGTAGTTGTCTGGGAGGCAGTACTACGATGCACATTTGCGGACTGTCGCACCCGATGCTACGCAGGCCGAGTGCGTGGTGGGTGCGGTCTGTGCTAATGCCTTCCCGGAATGAAAGGGAGTGGTGTGCAAATGTACACCTTCAGCACTTCTTCGGCGGAAGCTGTACACCAAGTTCCCGGCCGCTCCGAAGCCAGATGCCCAGCCGGCAGAAGTGAGGAGGCACAGGCGGTGTCACGAGCCCTAAACAGTAAATTTCGTGCTATGAGGACCACAAGGCCGGGATCTCAGCGGCTGCAACCGCCAGAAAGTCGGATTGCACAATACCCCGAACTAATGGGGGGTTGAGGGTTTGCGAGTCCGGTCTGGGTGCAAAAAAGGGGTATCACACATTGAGGTTTTTGGGGTTTATATGAATGTTTGTTCTTTTATACACATACATATATATATATATATATGCATATATATATATATATATGCATATATATATATATGTATACACATACATATATGTAAACATATACAGTAGACCTACAAGTGCAAAATCTATTTATGTTCACTTGAATGTCGCCAGCGCCAGCATGTATCACGCGTCTCACTGTGCCAGGGCCGTGCAAAACATCATGAGAAGTCGTCTAACCGGTTCACCGTGCGCTCGCGGAGCTTGGCAACCTCGAGCGTGAAAGAAGCGGTGCAAAGTTTGGACTGCGTAGAAGGAGGGAGCCCTGCGTAAGGCAGCGTACTCGTAGCTGCTTGTCCGGATTCCTAACATTTCCCCAAAGCCCACAAGCCCCAAATCCTGAATTCCAAATCACTTCTCGGAAGCTGCTGAAGGCTCCCGGCTCTGGGATTCGGCAGGTCGCCCTTAGCAACGCCTTCCTGGCCGAAGGCACCACTGTAGGGGGGTTTGCAGCCGTTTGGAGGTGATCGGGTTTAGGCTGAAAAATGTTTGAAAACCGTTGTGGAGCTCAGGGATTAAAGATGTTGAGGGCTTCGCCTGGTCCTTGTTGATCAACCCTTGGGAGTAGCTACTGGGCCTTGATCATTGTGGGGTCAACGCCTTGGGCTGTCTAGTCTGCTGGGTCGGAGGCTTGAAGGAACAGTCTGAACGTTAATCCATGGACCCATCCATCACCAAGGCAAGATCGCCTGCGGCGAGGCCGGGCGGGCGCTGGTTCCTGCTGCGTTGAGCGCTGGGGCAAGCGCAATCCACTCTTTTTCAGGGCGCCTGCTCTTGCGAAGGTGAAGCTTGCCACCATTCCTGGGGAGTTGCCGGCTCTGGCACTCAGCAGATTTTTGTTGGTGAAGAGTTGTAATTTCAGGTTTCTGTTGTCGGGGTCTCCTGCCCTATCGCCCTACGCATGAGCTGCTTAGTGTGTGGACATGCGCCACTAGGCACGCACGAGCTTGTAAAGTCATTCATCCTATCAGTATCGTTTGCTCGATTGATGAACTACGGCCCATTCTATCGGCACAACGATACTGACAAGGAACCAAAAACGATTAAGACGCATTCGTTTCTATTGCCTTTGCCATGTTCTGCTCCGCTCTCTCTCTCTCTCTCTCTCTCTCTCTCTCACGTATCTGATTCGGCTTCAAAGCTGCTGCGTGAGAAGGCACGGGAAGATCACGATGCAATAAGCACGGCATGTGGAGAAAAGAAAGAAAAAGGCGGGGACCCACTAGCCGAGTGCAGGATGGGCCGACATGGGCCAACGAGCATGTGTGAGACAGGACCCGGCAGCGACGTGGAAAGCTGCCAGGGCGGAGTCGGGCCGAATGCAAGGTCTCAAGGATGACTCAAACTCCGGGTAAGAAGTGTTCAAGGGGCCCCTAGTTAGTTGTTTGCTGGACTGGCTGCTACCTGCTACTACAGTATTTGCTTTGGAGATGGGCTGCAAGTCCACTTATTATCATGCCCAAGACACTCCGTACTGTATACATCATGCGCAGGTTGTTGCTTTGCTTCGAACCTCAGGTGCCCCCCGGGACTGCTGGGATCCTGGGCCTCGACTTTTTAACGCTCTTCGACTGGGACTTCGATATCGCTGCTCAGAAGGCAGGGTAAAAAGGCTAGGGGCGGCAGTCGGGGTCAAAGCTGAGACGCAGCGCATGGTTGAAGGCCCAGTATGGTGCAATGATTCTGAAACAGCTTCAGGAGACCCATAGCTCCCGCCATGATCTCCCCTGGAGGGCTTAGCGGGGTTTCTGGGATGAGGTGCAGATTGCCGTTGCACCAAAGGATCGCCGAGCTGGGAGCCCTGGTGTGCCTGAGAAAGTCTTTTTGTTGGGAGTTCGCGGAGCTTCACAACATGAAGCATTTAGGAACCATGAAGGAGTCCATGGGTCGGGGTTTGCAAGGCTTGTGATTCTGGTATTGTTTTCGTCAGGAATGCTCCTACTACTACTACTACTACTACTACTACTACTACTACTACTACTACTACTACTACTACTACTACTACTACTACTACTACTACTACTACTACTACTACTACTACTACTACTACTACTACTACTACTACTACTACTACTACTACTACTACTACTACTACTACTACTACTACTACTACTACTACTACTACTACTACTACTACTACTACTACTACTACTACTACTACTACTACTACTACTACTACTTCTACCAGCAGCACCAGCAGCAGCATCAGGAGCAGCAGTGCGCAGTTCGGTGACTCGATGGATCCAGTAGATATTGGCTAGGCCATTACAGTTTGAGTTTGCCGTGCCAGGCACCTGTACCTTTCCTCCTGGATGGCATGGTGCTTGTGAATTTGACCAAGGTGCGGGCATTGATCCTGATCCGCCAGAACTAGAAATAGAAGCAAATACTTCTCCGTTGCAATCGGTTGGCCGTGCTGCCAGATCCGCACCCCGAACCGCGCAGAACTTTTCGCCTGCAACGTCAAGGCTGCCAGGGGAGTTGCGCAGCGCTGTACGTGTTGGACTCATCAAAGTTACGAACTGGCAGTAATTTGCAGGTTGCTTCAAGCGCCGGCGACGTGCAGGAGCCACCGCAAAGCATCTCGCATGGCTGAGCAGCGTATTGTGGCATATTCCTCTGTGCACTTGGCAAACACTCTGTTGAGGATGCCAAGCTTCGCAGCATCCAAGGCACACCCTCTTGGGGTCTATGTAAGGAAGGATGACTTAAGCTGCAACTCTTGGACTCAGGTTTGCCAGACCTGGCATCGCCTGGGGCTTTCATTTGGCAGAATCGTGTACAACTGTTCAACTCTCTGAGTTTGCACGTTCAGATGGGTGGGCGCTGCATTGAAATTGTAGCTGGTGCGAATCGATTTTCTGGACGTGTTCTCCACCGGACGTGCTCTGTGCATCAGGATCAACCCACTGCTTGTTAGCCAGAGCTTCGTAGTTGTAGCGGTGCAAGAGTGGCAGTAGTAGCAGTCATAGCATGGGCACTTGTGCTCGCTGTTGCCCAGAACATGTTCAGTTTCGGAACATCCCAGGTCACACACGATGTGCAACAGAGTGGCCGCCAAGACGCTGCGCAAGGATGCGACGTCCAGCCAGGAGACAGCCACGCTAGTCGTATTCGAGTCCGCTTGTAATGCATGTGAGTTCACATGTTGCCTTGGTTCATGTGGTTCTTCCTGGGTCGCAATCTTACTGGGCCACAGCTACGTCTTGAGCATGTGGACTTTTTCCGGAGAGAACATCTCCTAAAAATGCAAGTTATCCATGTCCATGTTCCGTATCAAGCTGTCAGGCTTGCAGCTATTGGCAGCCTCGTCGAAAGCATTTCAACTAGAGAAGCTGCGCAACAAGGCTTTCTAGATGCAAGCCGAGAAGGCGCATTTAAAGGGTTGAGGCCTTAGATGGGGAGTGCCTCCCACAGAATCTTACGTAGCAAGACCAGTGAGACCCTGATAGGGGGGGGAGGGGAGGAGCAGGAATTTAGCAGGTGTGTGCCCATGAACTCCCATGGAAGCCGGGCCATTCGGACCATGCCAGACACAGCGGCGTTGATGCAGCCTCGCAGCAGACCTTCGTTGTCCCACGCTGCGAAGATCTGAACATCGACTCGTTTGATTCGTGGTGGCCATGCTCCCCCTTCTCTTTACCGTGCTGGGCCTGCTCGTCTCGGCATGTGCCAGGCTCTCAGAAGCTGCGGAAGCTCACAGAACATTGATGTTGCCGACTCGAATCCCTCTTGCCCTGATTCCTCTCTCAAGCAGCATGAGCTACGAGGTTCTGATGCTGGTGGTCTCCGTCCAGCGCACCGCCGACGTGTCCTCCTGGAACTCTCGGATTCAAAGGGTGTAGGGGGGTGTTTGAACCCAGGGTTTTGAAGTTTAGAGCTTTGAGGGCTAGGGTGTGCAGGCTTTAGGGGTCTAGAATTTCGGGTGGATTTTGGCGGTACCAAGCATTGACCCTGGTAGTTGCAGTTTCGGGCTCCAAGATGGTGGTCTCTTGTTTGTTGAGTTGCAGTTGCTTCACTTATCAGATATGTATGAGTAGAGGAACATCAGCATGTTTGAAGCTACTCGATCCTATTCTGCTGTATCCTACAAGCATGAGCGCAGCCTGTTTTCTGCACTTTTGCCGCAGGACTCCCAGCCACGTGCATGGCGGACCCTTTCCTTGAAAAGCGAGCAAAGCTTTTCCAGCAGTCCTGAATTGATCTGAATTGTTTTTTTAAGCTTGGTACTGTGCTCGTGCCCAAAGCTGCTTTCATCAGCATTGCAAGCTGATTGCGAAGCATCCATGTCGGGAGTTGCTCCAAAGGTCCATTATGGTCCATTGGGAAAGTCCCTTGAAAGGGGATTCCTTTCAAAGAAGGGGACCTGCGTATTTTGATCAACTACTGTACCATGTGAGCGAGAAAGGATTAGGATACTCTGCGTTTCCATGGGCAGTACGTCACAGCACTTGAGACGTGAGCTTAAGCTTCGTGGTTTCTTCAGGTGTGAGTTTGCTGGACAGCTCGATGATCACCAGACTCTCTGAGTTCCCAAACTCTATGAAGACGCTCGAAAGGACCCGCACGTGTCAGAAGCTGACCAAGAAGCTTATGGTACAGTAAAGCCAGTTGATGATCTGAAAAGTCCCGAGCTACTCTGGAGGAAACTTCTGGACTTGGAGTACCTTGCCGTCAGTGCAACAGATTCCGTGTGTCGTGCTCCAGTGGTGTGTCACGTCACAGAAGCAAGCTAGCTCTCGCGCTCGGTTTTTGTTTACAAGGTTGCTTCTAGCATCAGTTGGGAGGCTTTTAGGCCCGCCCGAGGGTATGACTTCCTCGTCAGGGTTCATTCATCTTGCTTCTCGGCACCAGTACCCATCTTCTGGCACAGAGACACACACTGGGCATGCAGAGTGGAACAGATTGGGGGGGGGGGGGGGGTGATGCGCCGTACTGCGCCCAGGCAAGCCATCCACGACCTCAGTGAAGAGATGCGTGATGGCAATGACGGCGCAGGCTCTTGGCTTTTGAGGGCATCTCGGGACTTCCCTGAGTCCCAGCTTCTGCTTCCAAGCTCCGAGGTGCGCTCCGGCTCCGCAGGGCACCGGCCCCTGCCCTGGCCCCTGCACCGGCCGCGCCGGTGGCGTCACCGGCAGAGAGGCCTCCAAGCAAAGAGGCGAGCTCCGGAGCGCCTCTCTAAGCTCTCTAAACTTCAAACTTTAAAACTTTACGAAACGAATCTAAACCTTTCTCTACTCCCCCCAGAGGCCGAAGCTGCGTCCACAACTCGACCAAGTGCTGGAGCTCTGAGCACTTCCCCAACGCCGGGCCCCGTGGCGAGCACCGAGCCACCCTGCATGTGAACTGCGATCTAGGACATCGAGGAGGTGAGTTCTTGAGATTCTCCAGAACAGGAACTCAATGCAGCGTGCATCATGTGCTTCCGTTTTGACCCCTATACAATAGCTTCTCCCATGTTCATGTCTCAACTGCTGCTGCGATGAAAGAAGTGTCCACACTGAGCCTTCGAAGGCGCAGCGACAGGCTATCAGAGGTGGCGGAAAGACCAGAAATGCGGCAAGGCCGTTGCCACCCGGCGCGGAAGTCCATGTCGTGCAGTCAAAAACCAAAACGTTGCATGGAACTACCTTACATGATGAAGCACCATCTCCTTTCAACGAAGATTTTTGCCAGCAAGTCCGTTCATGTCACAGCTGTCCATGAAGCGGCAATGTTTGAGAGCAATCTCGGCGACGGAAACTGCGTGCTTGTTCTCGGGTAGTGTTCGCTTCGAAGTGTTTCGTTTCCCAAGGCCCCGCTTCCAGACGGCAAGCCTGTGGAGTGTGAGCCCACAGGACAGGACAACAACAAGAGCAATGCGGAGTGTGCAACCGCTTTCCTGCCTGCCTTCCGTCTCCCAAAGGCATGTAATAAAGGCATCTTAAGTCCACCGTAGAAGCTGGAGGAGAGTTTGCTTGCTGCTCAGTCAATGGCTGGTGCGGCAACTCCAAGAAGCACTGCAGCTGCAAAGGCTGCTTCGGATGGGTTCTGGCATCCATGTTCCTAATGGGGCCGCCTAATGGCCATTAGCCCAATTATTGAGGCAGATGAGGCAGTGGCTGGTGAGCTTATGTAGTTGGGCCCAGGCCAGATCCTGCATGTTCGATGTGCTTGGATCCCGACACCTCAACTCTTTCACTTTGCTCCTGCGGGCCCGTCTGCAGGCTGCGTAAACTACCGCGACCTCTACGTTGCACAGTCCCAGGGTGTCTCGCAGAAGGCTTTGCTGGGCTTGAGACTTCAGCGAAGAAAACCGGGGCAAGACAGGTGTTTGGCTGCATGAATGCATCAAGAAATGAGCATGTTCGCCAGGACCTTGATCGCCTTGATCCTTACCCAACGCATGCATGTTTGTCGGAAGAGAGGTTAAACAGAGCTTCGAAGGACATGAATTGAAGCTATACAGGATCATTAACAAGTTCACCCTTCCGAATGACACTAGAGGACCAACTGCAACTATTCCTAGAACTCTCGCATGTTTGCCTATCCCATCTGTTTCTTGATGAGCATTGCTGGTAGGGTCTGAATCGGTCTGAACCTCATCGTCTAAGCTCTCGGAAAAGCTGTTGGTGAAGGCCGTGGCACTGCCGCCAAGTCCACCCAAAGATGGTGGCTCCGATCATGTTGGCTTGAGTTTGGGCTGTCTTCGGGTTGTCACTCCCCCGGTCCCCGGACATCAAACATCCAGACCCTTCAGCCGTTAGGGTGGGGCTCTGGGAATTGAGGAAAGAGTTCACAAACTGCTAATAACGAAATATTTTAACACTCGTCTCATCGAGATGCCTTTGGTTACCAGTTACTTTAACCTAAACAGAAAGCCGCAAACCCAGAATAATGCAACCCATGAGTACCCAAAACAGTCCTCGAGCAGGTTTTCTATTGTCTGACGGTACATCGTTTTATGACTGAAGTTTAAGCCCTAAGTCGTGCTGTTATGGCTGTTATTTTCTGGAAATGCCCTAACCCCTACAGCCTAAACCCTAAACCCTAAACTTCAATTTCTGATGCGGAAGGAGAAGCCGTTTGCCCACCATCCTCTCTTTGCATTACATATATCATTCACACATGTAACAAGAATAACATGTACACATGTATGTAGTAATTATCCATGGATTACGTGTTTCGAACATTCTTTGCTTTGCGACAACCCGAGTGCTGTCTAGAGCAAATGGATTGGGAATTGTGTGGCCCCTATGAGGCCCCCAAATGAGGATGAACGGAAAGTTAGAGCCCAGCCCTTGAGGCCACCAGGGCAAGACCGTCATTGTGATAATCCCCTTCCGCGACCGCGAGTCGCATCTGCCCTTTGGACCTGGAGTTTGGTGGTTCAGGGGTTCTGGGCGCAGGGCTTTGTGGCGAGCTTGGGGTGGTCCAGGGAGGCCTTGAGAGACACGCGTGTCAGGTGCGTAAGCGCATGTTAACAGGCTGTGGACGAGGCAAGTGAATAGTCACTGGCAGCAGCACGTCACCTGACCTTGATCAGCCTGGTCTCGCGCCAAGGGCTAGAAAACCAAGGGCATCTTAGTCGGGCTGAAGGATGGAAGAGACCATAAAAAGCATCACGCGGCGCCTCATCGCAGATCAGCTCTTCGGGGAGGTTGCAGTAGATCCACTTTGTCATGCTACCCATACAGCAACGATCTCTCTGTAAGACATAGCCGCTTGAATTCAGAGATCTCCCAGTTCTGCCTGGCACAGGAAGCTCTTCAAGCAGTATTGGCGCTGGTTTGCGGAGTCTGGGCGATCGCCGAAGACGGTGCAGAGACACCGGATGCAACTGATACAGTATACATCCCCAATCCGACCCCAATCCATCCCCAGTACCTATCGCCTCTGCTACAGTGATCATGCTGGGTAAGAAAAACGATAGTTGCCAGGTCAGGGCATGCTGGGTTCCTCATGTTCAAGCCCACGATATTGCAGACACGTAAAACCCTAATCCGTGATGGAAACCTGGCTGTTGGAAGGAATTTAATTGACCTGGTTGCTTCTCAAATCTCGCTCATTTCAGGGCCGCCGAAAAAGTCACCTTCCACCACGCATCCCAACCCAAATCAAGAACTGCATCGAGCAGAAAGTCAGGTGTCGGGCCCAGGAACTTCAAGATGTGATTTTGAGCCCCAAGTCCTGATCCTGAAGCCGTACATTAGGGCATCCTCAGCCGAACTTCAGCCCCGACCTGCCCGACCGTACGTGTTTTTGGGTAGCATCTCTTTTGCATTGAGGCCAAAGGTTTCTGCTGTTGCAAAGAAGATGTCTGTCCGAGACGATCTAGAATCAGAACAGCTCACTGGTGTCTTCGTTCCAAATGTTCATGGCAGACTCGTCAAACACAGCGTAGTAGTATGCCCACCACCCAGGATGGTTGGTCATCATCGCAGAGCAGTTTGACGTACTTTGTCACAACTGTTGGCTTTTGACATGGTTCATCAACATTCTTCCACTGGACTTGGTTTCTTCGCGGAACATGGCCTTCCTTCGCGCATAGCGAAGCCGACGTTTGAAGGTTTGAGGTCTCAGCATCCATCGGCCATGACCTTGACAAGTCGACCCCTCTTTCATGGCCACTTGCGTGGACTTTTACGAAAAACATACGCTTTTCAAATGCTGACATACTCTGATGCTGGCGCTGGGTATTCAACTGCAATCGCTCTGAAGTTTGGCTACTACACAGTCGCTTGAAGGCTTCGGAGCTGTATGCCTGCAGAGCGATGGCATGCTCCGTTTCAGTTTTATCTTAGCCGCGGATTATCGCTTCACTTCGACAGACCCATCGCGAGACTTTCGGGACGCGTTGCTTTGCATGTTATTAAGACTGTGTCATATAATCTCTAGCTTAATCAGTAAGTTTGCACAAGCCCCGACATCTTTGCGGGCTCCATTATGCGCATTTTTCCTTTCCTGGCGGCACCGCTGTGCATCGATGTGCGGATGAATGCATTCCTGTGTATATGTATGTATTGTACGCACGTAGGCAGGTACAAGTGTATGTACGTATGCAGGTAGGCAGGTATGTATGTCTGTATGTATGTATGTATGTAGGTATGTATGTACACAGGTAGGGGGCAGGTAGGTAGGTATATAGAAAGCAAGGTAGGTATTTAGGTATGTATGCATGTATGTATGTATGTAAGTATGTGAGTCCCTCGAGTGTGCAATTTTGTTACGTTTGTGTGTTTGTTTGCTTGCTCGCTGTCATGCACTATCATATTTACATATATGTATATAGAGAGAGAGAGATAGGAGAGATGCCTTTATCAATTAGCGTGTATTTGACACCTTAATTTGTTTAACTTAAAATGAACATAATTGAAATGATTGACATCACACTCCCATTTCAACTGTTTCAACTATTGCGGGCCCCAGGTTTGCAAATAATTGAATTCGACACTGTTGCAATCATTTCCCCCAATTTGTCAAACGATTGAAATTATTGAAATCCCGACCTTTATCTCGTTGTGCGGCCCCCGTTTTTCAACCGGGGGGGGGGGGGGGCGCCAGGGAGCATAAGCAGTTTTTTTATGATGGCCTTCGGAGCCCTCAACCCTTGTAACCACCTGCGTCGTGTGTCAGGCGGGTCCCTGGTAGCCTCAAGTGGTCACAGCCCTGCTGTCGTTCGGGATGTTGTGCTGTGCTCGGGTTGAGAGCAGCCTTGATTCCTGCAACCCTATGAGCACTGCAGGCCCTCGCATTCTTAAACTAGCGTGTCACAGAACCTCCAACACAGCCCACCCAAAGACTCCAAAACCCTTAATTAATTACGGAATATACCTTAAAATATAAGAGGATCCCTAATATGATTTAAGATATGTTCCGTAATTAGTGAAGGGGTTTTGGAGTCTCTGGGCATGAGTCTTCGGACTCAAAACCCTAAACCCCAACCCCCACGGCCCCACAGCCCTCCTGAAACTGCAACTCCAGCTCCCTTCCCGAGCACTTTTGTGGAGAGTCCACACACAGCCCGAAACCCTAAACCCTAAACTGTAAACCCTATTGGCTTCAACCCTCCGGGCCCAGCACAATTTGTTCCACCGCAGTGATGGCCGATGTCCTTTTCTCTCTGCTGCGGTTCCTGCAGGCAGTCTAAGGGGCCATGGCGCTACTGTTCGGGCACCTCAGGGCCAGAGCTGGCGGTAGCACAAAATGTGATGTACAGCCTGCTCTTCTAAGAACAGCTCTGTTCTTGCACGCCCTCCTGAGTTAAAAACTCACAAACGTCGGGCACTCCAGGGAACCCATTCCCTAGCTACCCCCTCCCCCGTTCTCCAGAGGATCTTTCCCCTGCGCTCTTCTCTTCTTGCCAGAAAACATGTCGGGGTCATGAACAATGCGCCACTGCTGCCCTAAACTGATGAAACGTGTGATCTGGTGTTCTTCCCCTCTCTTTGTAAGGATGTTGGCCAACTGAGCATCTGAGTTGACCCAGCGAACACTCAAACAGGTGGACTCTTGTGACTCGTTTAAGGCCAGGAGTTCTATATCTACGCCTTTCGGGGACGCATAAGGATTGTCAACTTTGTCATAAACATTCCGAGAGTCTGTCACCAGAATGCCGCGGGTGTGTCGAGCCATGCCGATGAGAGTTCCTTCGGTGGAATAGCCCTCATGTCGGTTCTGAGAACTTGCATCGCACCAACCCACCATCACCAATTCCTCTGACTCGGGGAAAGCGTGAATGCGTAGCGGCACCTCTGCCTCCTGCTTAATGGTGTAGAGGAGTTTGTTGGCTTGTTCCAGATGCTCCACTGTGCTGTGTGGGACCTGAAAGGCTCAAGCTGACATGGGCGCTGTACTTGTAGCCGACTTGTCCAACCTGCCAACTGAGAGCTCCGTGTAAAGCTCTTAGCTCGCTCTTCTCTTGTTCTGTGGTGGCTTCATGTTTGGCTCGTCGTCGCTCTCGAGGGATGCTGATCTCCTTGATGGTCTCCAGGTACTGCCTCTGACTGATGTCGAAGGATCCGTCCTCAAGTTGTCTTTTTCCCAGGCCTGCCACTCAAACCGCTTCTGGGTCTGGCTCTTTATTTAGCAGCTCCCAAATAGGATCATTGTCCCTTCCCGTGAACAAAAAGTCATCGACATGTCCACTGACGATGGAGACGACTCGTTCTTGGTCTTTGTAGACCCACGCACACGGGTCGCTTCGGAGCTGACGGTATCCGATGGAGTGCAAGAAGGTGTTTTTTACGGTTTCAAACCACTCAATCGGGGCCTCCACAAGCCCGTAGCAGGCTCGCCTGAGCCTGCAGACCGACTCCACCGGCAGACCCTGACAAATTTCTGGAGCTGGAATGCAATATAGTTCGCGTTCATATGCTCTGCCTTGCAAAAACGCTCCTGCCACATCTCCTTTCCAGCAAGACATATTCTGCTAGGCACAGTGCTGAAGCAGGAGTTGTCTGCTGTTTCTTGTCATAGTAGGTGCGAATGTAGGTCTGCTCTCGCAGCTCTCGCCTTGGGCTTGTGCCCACCGTCGTCGGTTGTTTGGTAAGTGAGGATCCAACGCATTCGCAGGGCTGCGCCACTCATCAAGGAGAGGCCACTTCCAAGCCCTACATCTACGAGACCACTCCCAATGCACAGTACTACCACACCAATGCCCAAACCAGGCCACCAACAAACCTCCTACGCATTGTCTACGGGCCTCTTTCTTTTTGGACTCAAGCCTGTCTTTTTGGGCGTCATCCCTTTGGTTCAGGTTTGCATTGGGGAGAAGGCAGAGCAGTCGGTGGAGATCCAGATATGTTCAGGGTGCTCTTCGCGGATGATTTTCAGGATTTGTTTTACTCCAGCACTAGTGGTAAGGTCACAACTATTACGCAGTCTGCACCTTTGTGTCCGATAACCCTGGGCTTCAGCTTCAGCCGACAGAACTGAGGTCGCAGAGCAAGCTACCTCCAAAAGAAACAGTTGGCCGGGATCCCGAAGAGCCCTGTACTGAGACTGCTGAAACTCAAAGTCCTGAACCTCCTCCAAACGACGACACAAGCCTATACCCGAGCGAATTTCCAGCTTCAAGGCCTGCAGCTGCTGCGTCAGATCTTCCTGTGAGAGAGCCGGCTCGGCCTTCGCATGCGGGCTGCTGCTGCCGCTGGCCTGCCCGTAGCCCTTCTCGGTCTTGAGCTTCAGCACTGGTGACAAGAGACGCGTGCTGTTGTCAAGCGCCAGGACGCGAGCCAGCCATGTCGGAGCCGAGTCTGGGTCCTTCTCTGTCTTCTTGCGGTTCTTGATGAGCATCCTGGCCCCACGTCTCGTCGAACGTCAGGCCCGCATGCTTCTCGAAGGTGACGAGAGTGTCCCCTGCCCCGGAGCGCATCAGCCACAAACGAAGTCGGAGGGAGGCCTTGCTGTCGTAGTCCAGGTCCTTCTCCGCTGCGAAGGCTTTGAGCTCCTTTGCAGTGCCCTTCAAGACCAGTGTCATGGGATCTGTTTCCTTGCTGAGGTCGCTCAGGCCCTTGTCCTTCATGAAGCCGTGCTCGACCCTGTTGCGCTTCACCAAGGCACGACGCCCTGCTAATGTTAGGTCTGTGTTGGGCTTGTGACCGAAGGACCGGAGCTCCTGAAGACACTCTGCTTTGGTGCAGGCGCTGGGTGCCTTCACTCCTTGCGTCAGCTGACCTATCGGGCCCTGAGAGTCCATGGCCAGAGAAAGAGTGAGGGGAGGACACAACACGAGAAACACTGCTTAACTGGAGATGCTGCTCATGTGTGCTATCGTGGCCACGCCTGTAAGACCCTTGTTCCTTTCTCCCTCTCTCGCTCTCTCTTTCTTTCGGGAATCGCTGGGAACTGTCATCCCCCTCCAGGCCCCATGCTCTCTATCCTCTCGACCCCCGGGCAAACGAGTTTCGACCACCGCCGGACGACGCGATACAGGGGCAACTTTTTGAGCCTCAGCCGCAAATTAGCGAACCCGTCCTGGCCCCCTAACCCTGGAGTGCCTGACATCTTGTTTCCTCCCACTCAGGTTCAGGCATGCCCGAGCAGAGTCCGCGTCCCTACTCTGACGCGGTCTGTCCAAGGCGCGTCACAGGCGCCTCTAAAGAAACGGCTTCTCTCATGAAGTCTCGAGTTAAAGGAAGAACTTGATGCCCTGTCTGAGTGGTCTCGAGCTTCACACGCTTGAGAGGATTGAGCTTCGCAAAAACAGCTTCGTCACGCCCAAAATCTATGACGGCGCCCATCTTCTTAAGCGTGCTGATGCTCATTAACACGGGCACACACCCCTTGTCTGGGGCATGCGCCTTCAGCTTCAGATTCTGCTGCTCAGCAACAGGAAGCTGCAAAACGACTGTCGAGCTACACTGCGCTTTCTCAGGGTCGGCAAAGCCGAAAGTCGGCCTTTTTTGGAGGCTCACATGGCTCACATTGTCACACTTCTTTGGATCCAGCTTTGCTCCCTGGCGGCCTCAAGCACGACGATGGGCCCCATGGTCTTGGTGGCGCCGGGGTCCAGGACCCCGTAGCCTTTCTTCATGGCCTCGTGTGTGGTCATGGCGGCATTTGGTCCGGCTCATCGGACTTTGTGACCATGTCTCCGCGCAGGCTGAGTTCGTTGCCGAAGAGGACGAACTGCGACTCCTCTTCCACTTGCAGGCCCTTTGGCTCTTCTGGCTCCCTTTCCGGAGGTGGCGGTCGAGGAACTGGAGGACTTAGGCCCGCAACAAGCAAGGCTAATCCGTTCCACTTGAGCTTACGCAAGCTTCCCCCAATGTCGAAAGCTCGCTTGGATAAAACTTCTGGGAGAGTATGTGCACAAGCGGACTGCAACCATAATTACTTCTCAAATTCAAATGCCAAACTTATAAGCACGGAAATCAACGCCTCCTGCACGAATGCCACTTGCCTCAGTTCTGCTCGAGCCAGGTCCTTGCGACCGTCAGCGTCCGATTTGCTACTTGGCACCACTTGTGGGTTAACTAAGGGTTCCCAAGAATTGGGCGGGGCTAGCGTTTGGGGGTTCACCGAACTCTTGACAATATTGAAATAGGGGTTTCACAACCCCAAGTGAAGCAGAATGCCACAGGCTCTCCGAATCCTACATGTGCTCATGAGGTGCAGGGTTGAGTTGCGTAGAGTGTATATACGGCTTGTGCAAGGTCCCTATACATGGTGACTGACTGCCTTCCAGTAGTTGGGCTGAAGTGTCAGCATGGATTGAGGTGTGCACAAGGGGAAGAGAGGGAGCAAGCTGAAGGCTCAGAGCTTAGGGCTTCAGGTTTATGTCTCAGCAATTTCAAATTCTAACTGGCCCGAAAGTTTGCCCAACATTTGCCAACATTTGGTTCTTGTGACCAGTGCGAATCACGTGGGATGTCTTTTCGCTTCGCCAGTGCAAAAACTGAAGGCAAAGGATGTGTCTGATGCGAGCCCACCTAGCTGTGTTTCTCAGCCACTCGATGTTGGACAACCGCCTTGCGGTTGACTAGCATTGGGGAGTAAGTATAAATAATGGGAATATATACGTATACACATAGGACAGGATTTGTTGGAATCCATGCCCAAACTCTCGAGTAAGCACAAGGCAGGTAGACTACGGTCGCTCTCGTGCCCCAAGCATCTGAGCCTCGCAAGATCCAAAGCTTGGCGCGGAGTCTTCCAACTCCGATAGATTTGACATCCTGTGGCTCAACTCCCTCGACCTTCTTGCAGAAAATGGCCCAGGATCCTATCGGCTTTTGTGCGACGCCAGGCTGTCCGTCAGATGTCGCAGGGGTGTAGAGGCTTAGTGTTTAAGGTAAGAGTTCTAAGGGTCATCAGATAGGATATGGGCCCGGGCCAAATTCATCAGCGCAGGGCTCTGGAGAATGTTGTGCTAGTGGCTGCTAGTGCTTCATGGTAACGCGCACGTGATGTTGCTAGTCGTGCGCAGCAGCGACGAAGTCTAGCGGAAATATTCTTACGTGCGTTCGGCGAAACGAGTGGAGAAGCGTCATCAGAAGCATTTCCGCACTGATTGAAGTGATGCGAGCATTCATAGTCGCGGTCATAGAGAGCGTCGCAAGAGTTGGCGCAAAGTAGTACTAACTTCTACGATGATGATAATGATGATGATGATGATGTTGATGTTGATGCTGATGATGCTGCTGCTGATGATGATGATGATGATGATGATGAAAGCAGATTCAGATATGATGGTGCGGGGGTTAGGCCAACGGTACTTGGAGGATCACTGGCACTCAGTAAGTAGGTTGATGATGGGGATGACTGGACCGATCATGATTTGTCTGGTCAATAAATGTGCTTACTGAGTCCCCCTGACCGCCCGAGTGGAGGTCGTAAACATGTCTAATATCGTCGTCCTCATTGATCATGACAACAACCAGCAAGGCAACAACAGTAAAACAAACTTGTTTCTAAGGAGATGTAGGCCCAAGCGCCAAATCCTTGAGTCCAGGGCTGGACGAAAGCCAACGGCCGCGGGTGCATGATGGCTGCTGGATGTGGTCAGTGTGGAATGCGGGGCTTAGGGTTTTCGGGTGTAGAAATTAGTTTATAGACTTAGGGACAGAGGGTGCGCGAGGACTTAGCAGGGGAGCGGGCAGAAGCAGACATTCTTGTGTTTGTTGCATGCGTCTTTTCCAGCACAGTCAAAGGGGAAAGCGGTTGTTTACGACAAATCTTAGCACAATTGTACTTCCTGATTCCCCGCGAGCTCTCCAAGTAGTGATTATTTGTCATAGCATTCCATGTAGGGGCCAAGAAACCCCTCAACTCCTAAACCCAAAACCCCTAAAGCCTCAACCCTCAACCCTAAACCCTAAACCCTATGGTGGTACCCTTATTCCCCTTTTCTTAAAGGCTAGTTGCCCCCAGAAGCCAGAAGCCACGTTAAGCGACACGAAATACAGCGTTCAACCACTTAGGTTTTCTAACGTTAAAGAGTAACCGATTTTAAGCTGTATGATGGGCTTCGGGTTTTGTTGGGATCACGTTTTTTTGGGTTCTATGACGAGGTGTTGGGATGCATGCAAGTTAACGCTGTTGCAGTTGTTGATTTTGTCAGGCGTATATCGCGCTTGAGGTTTAGAGTTTTCTCGGGGGCTTAAGGGTTTTTGGCCAGCGCCTGGGATTTTCCATTTGGGGTCTTAATTTGGGTTTAGGGTCTTGGCGCGGATGAAGCATTTTCGGTTTTGAGTGCACGGTCCAGAGTCTTGGGGGTTAGCCCTTGGGTTTAGGTCTAGGGTTCTGCTTTTGTCGGGCTTGGGGTTTCACCTAAACCCTAAACCCTAAACCCCAAACCAATGTTTTCTGCAAGGCCGGAGGCTGATAAGCCTCAAGCTCGTTAAAAGCTCTGAAGCTTTAACTCAAGCGCCGAATAGGCCCAAAGACCCAGAAGCCTATACCCTAAACTCTAAACCCTGTACAAACCCTGCGCCCCTCTGTATGAGGGTCCTTGCACACCCTAATCTCTAAACCCTAAAGCCGAAACCCTAAACCCCGAACCCCAAACCCTAAACCCCAAATCAGCCCTGGCTGCGTCGGGCATTGCACTCTGCGGAGGCTCCGAGACAGGGATTTGGGCTCCAAGGGCTTTTGGGGGCTTCGGGTGCTAATGGTGTAGTCAATCCCGAAAGCAACCAAACCTGAAGCCCACAAAACAAACCCAAACATTCCCCAAGCCCCAAAAAAGCCCCGTGTGCTCTCTGCCCTCGGCTCCAGGCGGCTCGCATCCAGCGTCACACCCGCGGCTTCCTAGTCCGACTGGCCATCCGGAGGTCCCTACTGTTGATACAAGTAAACATTGAGTTTCAACAAGGAATAGTTAAGTTAATCGATGTGATTCTCGTCGTTAAGTCCCCTTTCCTATATGGAGGTCCCCGTCTGATTTGCTTTGTCGCGTCTGCTTTACTGCGGTTTCTCAGCATACTTACCGCGAATCTAGATTTGAGTGGTTGTCAAAATGATGCATCCTCGGATACCTCAAATACTAGGTGCCATATCAGACTGAAGACACATAGTTTTGACAACCGCCCAGTAAGCCTAAACCCGAAACCTCTACAGACCTTGCCTGGCTTTGCTGACTGTGAGAGTCAAAACCCCAGACCTCTAATCCCTAACCCAAACCCAAAACCCAAGAACCCATGTTATGGGTTTTTCGCGAGGCGTCGGGCTGCTGTGGAGATCCCCTTTCGGGCGGCCGAAGTACGAATTTCGGAGTTTTTGTGGGATTTGGGATTTGGGGTTTAGAACTTAGGGCGTCGGTGCTCGGAGTTTCAGAGTTACGCCCCTATTGTCGGGGCCTTGAAATCCCATCCTTCTAGACGTCGGGGGTCTGGAAGGATTGGCTCGGAGATTGCCTGCTGCAAGTGCTGGAGCAGCCAGGGTACTCCGTCATCCGACGACAACCAAGAAGGCTTCTTGTTGGCGATCGAGGCCCGTGCTGGACCTGTCAGCTCCGCCGACAGCCTGGGACCACATAAGTAGCGCTGGCCCCACTTGGTTGTCTCCGCGTACAGGAGCGCTGCGCGCCTGTACTCTGACCACGTTGCAGGATCACCTGCCCACGTGGGCACGCCTTCTCGGCTTCTTCCCACGGTCATGGTTCACCTTGACTGTCTGCCCAGGCAAGACTTGTCGTTGGCGTGGGCGGTACGCCCGGGTCTGATTGGGCTCGTTCCCTGGAACCTATAACTGTTG